CCTACTCTCCCAGAAGCCCCTCCTCTGGCGTCACTGCGGTGGTGCTGACCTGCCCCTTTCCGGGAACCAGCCGCTCCCCCTGGCAGCTTCCTCTCCTCTGATGTCACCACCCTAGGTTCTGGCCCTGGGGCTTCACCTAGCTGTGGCCTACCCTGACCATGGGGGTGGGGGCTGGGGGAGTGGGATGGCAGCCGCATGCATGCTGAGCGTTAGAGGCCCTGAAGGTAGAGCCCCACCGTTCACAGCCCCACCCAGCCAGCTGCCCACTTTCGGAGCAGCCTCAAGTTCCTTCCAGCAAACACCCAAGTGAGGGGACATCTGAGGGAGGGGACATCTGACAGGTGTGAGGACCAAAGCTGCCCAAGGTCACTCGGTCTCTGCAGCCCCAAGGCCAACACTCTGACAGCCAGGTCCCACACGGCTGTCCACCCCCTGCTTCTGAGTCAGTCTCCCCTAACTGTCCTTTCCTGAGAGAAGGGGAGGCCTCCTTGGTGGGTAAGTGCTTGGCTGCTGACCAAAACGGCCAAGCAGTTCAAGCCCACCAGCTGCTCTGAGGGAGAAAGCTGAGGCAGGCAGCTCCTGTCAGGCAGTGTGGCCTCAGAAACCCTAAGGGGCAGTCCTACTCTGTCCTACAGGACCACTGTGAGTCGTGAGGGTGGGGTCTGAGGTAGGAAAGGACAGGAACCCCTAGGTGGCACAAGAAGTTGGTGTTCCGATACATCCCATCCATTGGTGGTTCAAGCACAAGCAGCAGCAGTGCTGAAGAAAGGCCTGGCAATCCACTTCCATTGGGTTGTGGTTATGTGCAAAGGGGGCATGTGTCTGCCATCCGTCCACCCATGCATCCATGCATCCATCCATGCATCCACCCATCCATCATCCATCCATGCATCCATCCACCCATCATCCATCCATTCATCGATTCATCCAACCATCCATGCATCCATCCACCCATTGACCCATCATCTCCATGCATCCATCTATCCATGCATCCACCCATCCATCATCCATCCATTCATCGATTCATCCAACCATCCATGCATCCATCCACCCATTGACCCATCATCTCCATGCATCCATTTATCCATGCATCCAACCATCCATCCATCCATCACCCATCCATTCATTCATCTATCCATGCATCCATCCATCCATTGACCCATCATCTATCCACTCATCCATCTATCCATGCATCCATCCATTCATCCATGCATGCATCCATGCATATATCCACCCATTCCTCCCTCTCTTCATCCACCCACCCATCCATCCACTTATCCATCCAACCATTCAGCCACCCACCCATCCACTTATCCACCCCTCCATCCATTCTTTCTCTGATTCTTCTCTCCCTTTGCGGAATTTCTAATGTGCAAGGACATGACATCCTGCTGCTTTTGATTGAGGCCAAACTCACTGCCATCAAGTCACTGCTGGCTCATAGCCACCCTAGAGGACCGGGTAGAAATGCCCCGGTTGGTTTACAAGACTGTGACTCTTTATGGGAGTAGAAAACCTCATCTTTCTCAAGTGGATCGACTAGTGGTTTTGAACTGCTGACCTTGTGCTTAGCAGCCTATCCCCATCCAGAGAGGTGACAACAGAGCAGGGCAGGCCACATGAGACAGCAAGGAGCCCTCAGCCCCTAGAGCAGCCCAAGCTAGAGGAGGCAGGCTCTGCTGGATGGAGGAACTAGAGGAGGCCTATTCCCCCACCCCACAAAGGTCTTGCAATCGGAACAAGAAACTGCTGTGCATGGGGCCAGCTGGGAGCAGGGTGGTGGGGCCCCAGGCTCCAAGTGGCACGGCCCTGCCTGGTGGGAGTGGCCACTTCTAGGCAGTGTGGTCCAGGCTGCTTAGACTTTTAGAGAAACGAGAAACGAGAAAGCGATGGTCACATGCAGGCAGGCTGGCGGCTCCCTGCTTACAGACTCTCTTTGACAGCCCTAGTGGCCTCGTGGTTAGGACTTGGGCTCCTCACTGCAAGGTCAGCAGCACAAAACCATCAGCCACCCTGCAGGCAAAAGATGGGGCCTTCTACTCCCATGAAGAGTTACAGTCTCTGAAACTCACAGGGGCAGCTGCACCCTGTCCTGTCGGGTCCTCTGCGTCGGCATCAGCATCAGCGCATGGCATGGCAGAGAGAGTTTGGCTGAAATCTCCGCACAGACAACGCAGACTGGCCCCAAGCTGGGTATGCTGGGTCTTGTCTGGCACTTGTCTGGCACCGCCTGGCACTTGTCTGACCCCTGCTGTGTGAGAGGCCTGCTCCATCCAGGGGATCCCCCAGCCCAACTCTCACCCCCCAGGCCTCCAAGGCAGGACCCCAAGATTTCCCGCAATGGGCAGTTTCTGGTACCGGAATGACCCTCATGGGAGGGTCGTGGTCAGCCCCATGCAGATCCCAGAATCCCCCCCTCTCCAAGAGAAGGAAGATCTACCTTGTGACAGGCAGGTAGATGCTGATGGCTTACAGCCCCGACACCCTTCAAACACCTCTGCTGCAGCACCCCTTCTCTCCCAGCCCCAGTGCCTTCCCACATTCCACCCCCACCCCCACAGCCTAGTGGTTCTCAGGGACATGCTAGCCCTCGGTCCTGGTGCCCAGTCCCTGGTTCCTCAGTCCCCTGGTGCCCGGGGATGTTTCCTGGGGTCCTGCTGTGCTTTGACTGTCCTCTAGAAGGCTTGTTTATCCACTTTGCTGTTGTCCGGGGTCACTGTAGGACAGAGAAATCCCCCTAGGGGTGCCAAGGCAGCCATCCCTACAGAAACAGCTGCCATCCTGCTCTCCCATGGAGCGGCTGGTGGCTCGATCCACTTGCCATCTGATGAATAGCCAACGCTTGACCACCGCGCCACCCAAGCACCTTCGAGGAGCCTTAAAAATCAAGCAAATCACTGCAAAGCGTCTTCTGTGCGCCGGCCCCAAGTGGAAAAGGGTGAGAAGGGACCGACTTGCTCATGGGAGCCCTCTGGTGGTGCAGTGTCCCCAGGGCCCCTGATGATTCGGAAAACTCCCTACCTTCGCGTGGGACTGACTCACAGCAAGCCTGGGAGTAGGACCCGGTAGAACTGGGCTGGGGGCTTCCCAGAAGTTAAAAACCTTTATAGGAGTAGACAGCCTCTTCTTTGTCCCTCGGAGTGGCGGGTGGCTTCGAACCACTGACCTGGGGATGAGCAGATCAGTTCCTCCCTGCTGACTGATCCCAACCCCTTGAGCTCCAGATTGGGATGACGTGGGCGCCAAAGTTTTTTTTCCTCCCAAGGCTGTGATCTTGAAGCAGTAGATTGCCAGGCCTTTCTGCCAAGGCACTCCTGGGTGAATTCGAACTGACAACCTTTCAGCTAGCAGTCAAAGATCTAACCGTGTTTGCCACCCGGGGACTCAACAGTGGTTCTCCTTTTTTTTTTTTCCCATCTCAGGATCCCTATACATTTAAAAAAATTAGCTCTTGCCCTCAAGAGCGATGGTTTACTTTGCAAACATTCTTTATTTAAAATAACAGTACCCACTGCCATTGCATCGGCCCTGGCTCTCAGTGACCCTATATAATCTTTCTGGGCGCAGACAGCCTCATCATTCCCCTGCAGAGTGGCTGGTGGGCTGGAACCACTGACTTTGTGGTTAGTCCTCCAATGCTTACTCGACAGCACTGATAACAATACCAAACCGATTCCTTGAATCTTAAGTAAGTATTTATGAAAAACAATACAGTGTTCCTAATCTAGGGAGAGAGGCTGGGCTTTCTATGCCCATAAACAGTTAAGATCTGGAAACCCACAGGGGTCGCTGTGAGTCAGCGTTGACTTCCTGGCAGTGAGTTTGGGGTTTTTGCTTGTTGTTTTCCCAGCTTGGTTGCTAATCTAAACCCATTGAGAAGAATATCACGCTTGGCACATTTTCTAAGCTCAAGTCCGACCATGTTCCTGGGCTTATGAGGGAAGAGGGTGAGGCTGGAGATGAGATGGCGGAGATGGGGTGTTTCAACCAAGGGCTGTGTGACACTGCATGGGCCCCTCATGGCCACTAACCCCACTGTGTGTGTGGGGGGGGGGGCAGGCAAATGCCATCTGAGCATCAACATGTTGGACAGAGTGGGTAGGGGTGTCCTCACCTGGAGATGGTCATCGGTGGAGGAGGTCACATATCTCTTGAGTGTGGCCACAGCCATCAGTGCTATAGTTCCTAGGGCAGAGGTCAAGGCTCATGGGAGACCCCCAGCGCTGACCACAGAGATCCACTTCTTCCTAGAAAGGGAACCACAAAGGAGAAGCTTTAGTCTCTACTCACGCGGGGCAAACCCCTTGTCAGAGCCAATAATCCTCCTCCTCCTCTTCTTCTTTTAATCATTTTACTGAGGGCTCTTACAACAATCTGTACAGCAACTGTAACAAGCACATTTGTGCATAGGTTTCCATCATTTTCTAGACATTTACTCTCTATTGAGCCCTGGTGTCAGCTCCTCGTCCCTCCCCTCCCCCTACCCCCTGCCTCTGTAGCCCCTTGATAAATTATTGTTTTCATATCTTACACCAACAGCTCTCCCTTCCCCCGTGGGTTCTGTGGTTCATCCCCCAGGGGTGGGGGTGGGGTGGTGATCATCACGATTGGTTCCCCTGCCTCCCCTCCTCTCTGGGAGTAGAATCTAGATACTGAGTTTGATCCTGTGGGTAGTGGGGAGTCATAGAGGGTTTTAGAGCGAGGGAGAAAAGGACAAAGCCAGCATGCTTCCTAGAAAGATGATTCTCGGGGGCCGTGAGCACTAAGTCTGATAAGAACACACCGTTGTCAACCAAGACGGGGGAGGTGGGCAGGAGAGAGGGGCACCCCGCCCTTTGCTCTCTCCATCCTCGTCCAACTCGGGTCACCCCCAGGCTGTGTGGCCTGCGTACCCTGCAGCCCTACGCAGAGAGGATCCCTGTGGTGGGCACCGCCGGCATCACCATCAACTTCACCTCCCAGATCTCCCTCACTGGGCCCGGCCTGCAGGTGCGCTACGCCCTGTACAACCAGTCGGACCGTGAGTATGGGCAGGTGGGGAGCTCAGTGGGCATCCCAAACCCCAAACCCTCTCAACAGCCCCTCTATCCCTAGAACCGCTGAACAGGCAGGGCCAACTCTGCAGGCTGGACAAGGGGTGGTGGTGTTTGTGTGTATTCTGGGGCACATACATGTGACAGGCAGCCGCATGCTCATCTGCACTACCCACGCACACAGACCCACGTGTGTGGCGTGCATGCCCTGACTTGCACACACACGCCCCTGGCAGGAGGTGGTGGCACACCGTGGGTGTGAACACCCAGGTGCACACGTGCTGCTGTCCTCACAGTCACGCGTGGCCTCACAGCACCCTCCCTGTCCCCTGTGCACCCCAGCCTGTCCTGGAGAGTTCCTCTGCTCTGTGAATGGGCTCTGTGTGGCTGCCTGCGACGGGATCAGAGACTGTCCCAACGGCCTGGATGAGAGGAACTGCGGTGAGCGGCTCCCCCTCCCTGCAGCCACAAGTCCTCTCTGAGCTGATCCCCCACTTGGCAGATACACCCCACCCACCCCACCCCCTGAAGTGCCTGTTCTCAGGAGCCAGCAGGACTCACTCAGAGTGTCCCTGGGACGGTGGGACGGGAGTGGAGTGGGAGAGCATCCTCCCCAGGGCCACCCTGCAGGGCAGAGGAGGACAAGCTGAGAGTCTGGTCTCCTGACTTAAGGCTCAGGGCTCCTGGCTCTCTCCTCCCACCTCCACCCCACCCACCCTGGGCCCCGGGAAGCCTCCCAAGGAGGAAGGTGGAGGGAGGTAGGATGCAGGGATCAGAAATAGCCTGTCTTCTTGCCTTCCGGGTCTCGCCCTCTGGCTAGAGGCTCAAAATGCAGCTGTCAGTCCTGCTGCGCTGACCCATCGCCCCCCAGCAAGGGGCCCCTGGGTCAGGACTCTCAGGGAGGCCTGGCTTCCACTCCAGAGTCACCATGCAGGCTACCTGTTCTCTATTCTGGTCTGGTTGACAAAGTGAGTGTGTACCCCTCCTGTTCTGGTGCTGGGGGAGGAGCCTCATGTTTAGAATCAGCTCTCATGTCATGTTCGAGCTTGGTCAAATGGCCTTGGACAAGCCACTGTCTCTGTTTCCAACATGAAATGAGGCCTCTCACAGATTGCTTCGAAGTCCAAGAGTCAAGCAGGGGGAGGGGCTGGGGCTCCACCAGGTGTGG